CCTGAGGGGAAGGACCAGTCACCATTCCCCCCAACTTACCACACCATGAGGCTATCTTTCTCTCCCTTGGAGAATTCCAGAAGATTCCTGGCAAAGTTGTCAATCCTATCCCCTCCTCCCAGAAGGGCAGCCAGAAACATGCCCCCGCCCAGCCCCATTTGCTCAGTGCAGAAGCGTATGAAGGGTACTCCCAATTTTCCTTTACCACCACTCCTCCAACAAGCTTGGTCAGAGCAAGGGGCCTGATGACCCAGCCACACAGACCCCATAGTCCACCCCTCACATGCCTGACTTAGTACACTCTGCAGAGTGACCAGTAGTACACGTCTGAAACGGGCCTCTCACTACCCCCCACTTGGCCACACTTTCTCAGGCAAAGTGCATGCCCGGAAGTATGACCAGCAGCTCAAGGGCATAGCCAAGCCCTTTCCTTCAGCACCGGTCACATCTGAGGGCAGAGCCAGTTCCCTGGGTCCTCAGCCAGACCCTGAGTCAGTAGCCCTGTGAAGTACATAGGGCAAGGGATGTGGCCCCACTTTTCAGCTCAGGAAATGGAAGCCTGGAGAGGACTATGTGACTGGCCTCAGAGTGGAGTGAGGTTGGGACTCCCATGGATTCTTTGACACACACTCCAGAGCATAGGCAGCACCCCATTTTTTATATAACCACGTGCAGGTGGAGTGAGGGAAGAAAGAGCTCTAGGGCCAGGCCTCACAATGCTTGTGTGATCCCTTGTCGAGTTGTGGGGCAACTTTCGGTTTATCAGCCTGGCCCCTCCACCACTTGACGTTTGTTATCTGGTGCCAGTCATGGAGACTCAGGCTGCAAAATAATCACACTTACAATTAATTATACACAAGGACTCTGTGTGTGTGTGTGTGTGTGTGTGTGTGTGTGTGTGTGTGTGTGTGTAGGAGTGTGTGCTGCAAACCCTCAGGCTGGCCAGGAAGGGGCCCTGCCCTCACCCTCACGCTTGTCCTCTGCAGATCCTCCGGAACCATGTGATGGTACGTGTTGGGGGAGGCTGGGACACGCTTGGCCATTATCTGGATAAACACGACCCCTGCCGATGTACATCCCTCTGTGAGTCCCCCCCTCTGTGGCTCTGGGTCGGGAGGCTGGAAGCAGAGGCAGGGGGTAGGACTGACCTACTGATCAGGGGGTTGGAGAACGCAAGAGCTTGTAAAAGGTACAAGTGTGATGCGCTCTCGGTACCGGGAAGAAGGCTGCGTGGCCATGGTGCAATGCCAGTTAGAGCCACAAGATGACACCAAACATACAGAGAATCAGCACTGGGTCCCGCACATCTTGGCAGAGCTTAGGTGTGGCTCTGATGACCACTGTGGTGGCACCAAGCATGACTAAAGAAGGAACCTTTAGTCCTCCCAAAATCTACAACAGCACCTCAAGTCACCCCAAATAAGCATGAAATCTAAGTAAAAGATGTGGACTTGTAATATAAACACAGCTTTACATAAATCCTCTGACCAGATTTTGTCACTTTATACCCCTTAAGGAAATTCTGGTGCTGGCACTGGTGCTGGCGCACTAGGTCGCACTGTCTGCAATATGGGATATGGGGCATGGGACAGCTGGGGGAGCTGGGGACAGTGGGCCCAATCACCAAGAATTTAACCCTTTTCTCCTCTCTCTGTGGGCCTATATTGGTAGCACACAAGACAGGCAGTTTCCTGAAGCCCCCTGCCCCACGGGTGCAGCATGAAGTGAGGGTGCAAGATGGACGCTTGCAGCCCCAGCCTATGATGACCGTCAGCCGCTCCCAGAGTCCACTGCCCCCTGTGGACTGGAAGACATATACCTCTTCAGGCCGAAAGCTGAGGCCCCCCACCTCCTTCTCCCGTATGCCCCGCAGTGGGGCCCCCAGAGAGACAGCACCATTCCTGAGGTACAGGAGAGGAGGAGGGCAGGGCTGCTTTCCCCTTTGGAGTCCACCTTCTCAGAGGACACCCCACCCCAAGATAAGGGAGCAGGTCTGCCAGGAGTGCCCCTCCTCAACAAGACCTCAGGTGTTCAGAACCAAAAACACACCCACTACCTTGGGATCATCTAGTTTCTTCATAAGCCATCCCATTTCACAGAGGAGGCTGAGGCCCATAAAGGGAACAGACTTACCCAGCATCCTTCCACCGTTTCACAGTAGAGCAGAAAGTAAGAGATACATATACATGCACACACACACACACACACACACACACACACACACACACACGACTGGTAACCTGCAATTTGGGCATCTGAAGTAACCCTGGGTGCAGACCAGGATTCTTTCTATCTGCTCCACAGGGAATGAGGGAGAATAGACTTAAACACTATCAGCCCTAAGGAAGTCTGCTGGGCAGGCACAGAGGGAGAGGGAGCATCTGTTTCATTCAACATGAAGTTTGGCCCCTTTGGTGTTCTGGCTGGGGAAAGGCCATCTCTTCCCAGAGCCAGGGGACTGGACTAGATGACCCTGCCGGCCTTATGATTCTCCCTTGCAGGTGCCAGGAGAAGTCACTCACCCCATCTCAGAGGCAGCTGCCAGCTGGGGACAGCCCACCCCAGTGCCAATCCTTACCCACCCGCACGGGGCGAGACCCATGGCGCACCTCCTCAGGGAAGACGGAGGACAGAGACTCCCCTCAACTCCTCAGGGGAAGGACACCTACATCCTGGGTTCATGAGGAGACAGACAGCTGGGGAACTCATGCCAAGGTCCCCCTCCCCCAGAGACTCTGGGCCCCTGAAGCCACCATCAGAAGGACACAAGCAAGGGGACCATCTCCCCTGCCTCATTCTTCGGGTCCTGCCAAGCCTGTGGGCCTCAGGCCACCACCCAGGGGTGAGGCCAAGGGTGCTTCCTCCCAGCTCAAGGAGCCAGCATCTGCTTGCTCTCCATCCCTTGTTAAAGAACGCACCAAGATCCCAGTCTGGCCACCCCCTGCCCGCCCTCCCCCTCCAGGAAGAAGCTTCCCAGGTACTGCAAGTGGACGTCCCATAACAGAATTGGGGAGGAGCCCTGTCCCATTAAGTGCTGTCCCCGGGAACTTGGCTGGGTCCAGACATGGGGACTGCTCTGAGGAAGGGAGGCAAGGGGACCAGAAGCCGGACATCCAAGTGACAGCAGAGGCTGGAGAGTCCTGGGCCCTAGGCCCACAGGAGGGGGTGGGGAGGTGCACTGTCCTGCCCTTGGGTGGCATCAAGGAGCAAGCCATTGCCTCAAACCATAGCCTTGAGGAGGAGCTTCTAGACAACATGAAGCTACTGGAGGTGGGCGGTGCCCGACCCCAGGGCACAGGGTCTGGAGTCATTCTTTGCAGTGGAGTCTATGTCCCTAGCCTAGGTGGGCGGTGTCCCGAGCCTGGGGGTCCTTATGACAAAGTCATCCAAGAACTGGCTCAGGGCCCCCCACCCCTCCTTAAAGTGGACCCAGGAGCCTGGAAGGCAGCCTCTGCAGGTTCACCTAAGCTGTCTGTTACTGCAGGCCCAGAAAGCCCCAAAGAGAAACTGGGAGCCAGAGAGGGTGTGCCAAGGACAGGGGCGAGCCTGAGTGCCCCGGGCACTGGGACGAGGAAAGTCCCAACTGAAGGAGGGCAGGACTGCTCAACACCTGTGACTGCTCATCCAGAGTCCCCCACTCCTTCATCCTCAGACCCCAATTCTGACAAGGCCAAAGCATGTCCCAGTAAGAGCAAGAGAACACTCCGAAAGCCCCAGAGAGTCCCATCCATCTACAAGCTGAAGCTGAGGCCCAGGATCCGGCCCCGGAGAGACCACAGGCCTGAGAAGCAGCCTTCACGAATTCCCAGGCCTTTGGCCTACTGCGGCCTAGGTCCAGCCAGGGCACCTCCCAGGGGTAGGCTGGTGAGAGCAGGACTAGGCAGCAAGGGAGGGGAAGCAGCCCCGGTGGACAGAGCCTCAGCAGGGGAGGAGGAGGGAAAGGAGAGGCAAGAGCCAGCCGTCCCCCCGTTGGGTAGTAGCCCTCAGCCTTCAGAAAGCCCGGGGCCTCAGCAGCTTGAGCAAGCCCCAATCTCTCCTGAAGAGGAGTCCTGGGTCTGAGAAGGGGCCTTCTCATCTCTGAGCCTGTGGGTTTGGAGAGGAAGATTGAGAAAAAGGTGCCTGTGTATCTATTCATTGGACTCCCAGCTGCAGGAACAGAAGGGAAGGTCCCTCACCTCAATACAGGGTTTGGCTAGTGGGGTCAGAAGATAAATATAGATTGAATCTGCTTGTTTGAGCAAAGGGGCAACTGATCACTCTCACTCCAACTCCATGGATTGTGGGGCCATCCCCTATCTTATTGGCCTCCCCCAGAACTGCTCCCCGAACTCCTGGCCTCTGGCCATGCCTACCATCTCTACAACTCTTGTAAGTCATTAAACTCGTGGGTCTGCCTTTGAGCCCCTAGCTTCTCCAGTCCCTCACTCTAGGATTGTGGTGGTGCAGGAAAGTGTAGCTTCAAACACTTTCCAACTGGAAAGGGGATGAGGGAGGGCAGCTAACCTTGCCAGGCAGCTGGGCTCTTGGGAGCTGCTACTGTGTCAGCACCAGGGACAGGGAAAAGGGCAGTCCCACCGCAGAAAACTTCAAAGCTTTGCCCTGGGGGTTAGAAACTGAGATCTGAGTCAAGAGGGATGGTTGAGTGTTCTTAACACTTCGACACCCATTAAGTTATGACCCAGGGGCTGCGGAGGCTCAGTCACAAATGGACAAAGATGCAGAAACAAAAACCGGGATTGAGTCCAGTTATGAAAGTTTTCCCAGGAGCAGCAAGGGAAGACTGTCGCTGATCAGTTCTCAGATGGATGGTTTTGATCCGTCCAAGGAAGGGGTCGGGAGTTAGGTGGAGAGGAGATGAGACCCAAGTTCTTCCCCTTAGTTCTCCCAGTTGACCTGGGCTTTGGGACTCAGGGCAACCTCACCTCTGACCTTCCTTCCACAGCAGAGCTCAGCAGGCAGGCCCCTGCCCTCCCACAGCAGGAACTGAGCCAACACCTTGGTACAGAAACAAGGGAAAACACTCCCTGATTTTTAATCTGACTTCCAATCACAGCTCAATGGGTGTCACACACACACTTCTAGACCCTGTGGTGGGAAACCCTGGGAGGCAGGGAGAAGGACAGAGACTCAGAATGGGGGTGGAGAGAATCAAAATCAAATACCTGGGGTCAAGTGGAAGTGGGGGGCCCAGCCAGGCAATACATTCCAATAGCTCCCATAGGGGGCAGCCAGAGGCCTGACAGTGACAGGGCAGGTGAGATGCTGCCATCCCTCATCCCGTCCTCCTGGCGAACCAGGGGGAAGGCATACAGGGGAGAAAAGGGGGCAGGCCCTCTTCCTTACCCTTCCAGCCACTCCGAAGTGCGGGGAAGGGGAGCCACCACCTCTGTTTCAGAGGGAGGCTCAGAGAGGGTAGGTCACTTGCCCAAACTCAGGCGGCACAGCAGGAAATAGAAGCCAGGAATACAGGACTGCCCAAGGTCAGGGCAGTCACCCTGGGGCTGTGCTATCCCTGGTGGGTGGAGGAGGAGCCAGCTGGGGACGGGACGCATGAACATTGATTCCCTCCCACACTGGATCTGAATGATAACCTCCCCACCCAGGACCCTTCCCCCAGACTCCACTCCATCAACTCTGGGCTACCTGATTTCCTGGCCTGCACACCTCAGCATGGCTATGTCAAGGCTGGCTTGTTTTATCTGCCCCTCTCTAACAAGGGACCTTGTTATCTGCCCACCAGACAACGGCTGAGGGCTCAGCCTCAATAACTTGTCTAGGGAGAACAGGACCCAGACAATTGCTCCCACCCTCCAAGGCCCCCAGTAATCCCTCAGGGTGCTCCTGTATCTTCATGGTTTTTGTTATTTCTTAATCAGTACAAAACTGACAGTGATCAGCTCCAGTGACTAGAGGTAGAAACCCGGCCACTCAGCCGGAGAAAATGGGACAGAGTGAGTCAGGGCATAGGGTGTTGGGACAAGGGGCATCAGATCCTGAGGGCCTCCAACTAGGGGTGGAGATGTGAGGCTGTCTCCCCTAAATACAAGGGTCCCCATAATTCTTTTCTCAGCTCTGCCCCTCCCCAAATTAATCAGGGAAATCTGAGATTCAAGGCAGGCAGGGTGCGGGGCAGTCAGATTGGGGTGGGATTGGGAGACAGAATTCTCACTGGTACACCTGATGCCACCTGGGCACCACCATGTCCACCAATAGTCCCCCAATCCCAACATCCCCCAATCTGGCTGACCATCCAACAGAGAGGAGGTAATAGAGGGTTGGAACCTGGCATCATGGAAACAAATCTATCCTTGAGGGATTCCCTCTCCACACTCTGTCAAGAAAAAAGTTTTAACCCAGGGGGCAATCTGGCTTTGGGGTCAAGAAGGGGGTGAGGGGCACCCGGCAGGGACAGACCATCAAGTTAAGGCTGGAAGGTAGGTTGTTGTGTCTCTGGGGGCTGCTGGGCATGGAGGTTCCCTGGAAGGAGAGTCAGCCTTCTCCCCCGACTCATCTGGGGCCTCAACTCTCAGACCCCAGTTGTGGACCTTGGGCCACCCACATCTCTCTGCCCTGTGTCAATGGTGCCAAAGGTCAGAAGGCTGGCCTCAAAAAGCTGCCAGGATCTGCGAGAAAGGGATGGATGAAATGAGAGCCCTATGAACGGAGCTGGGTGACGGGGGGAACCGGAGGGTGGGTAAAACAGCTGGGCACCAAAAGCCGCTTGGGCAGACTGACAGACACGGGAAAGGAGGTTGCGGGGCAATGACAGACACACTTTCTGAGGAAGACCCGTGGGGACCCGGCCAAGGCAGCACCTCCCTACCCCAACCCTCCACTCTCACGTGCTCATCCCTAATCCCAAAAGGCCGCAGCTCCCCTTAGGGCCGGGCAGGGTACCGCACTACCTATGGCACTAAAGGCCGGCGTCCTGGGCAGACAAGTGCGGGAGGGGAGGACGGGGCAGTTGTGGGAGGGTCCCCCCGCCTCTTACGGTGAGGCGCGTGGCTGCAGGGGTGCTTCAGGACAGGACCATCACAATTCTATTCTGGCTTCTCTCCGGTCAAGCCCCGCAGTCCCGAGGGGAAGCTGCCTGGGCCTGTGGGGGCTGCAGCCCGCGGTGGGGGGGAGTCACATGATGGCGCAGCGGTTGCGGCGCAGCGCGCCCTGGAAGCGCAGGGCAGCGTGCACGTGCTTGCAGCGGACACAGCCAACGCTCTTGAGCAGCTCGCTGAATAGCAGCAGAATATGCCAGTTGTACTTGGCCGAGCACTCCACGTAGCCGCACTTCCAGGTCTTGCGCACCAAGTGTGACACGTTCCAGCGTGGGATCACGCGTCCGCGCTGCAGGTCCCGCTTATTGCCCACGATGATGATGGGCGTCTCCGAGGTGCCGATCACTCTGTGGGGTGAGGTGGTAATCTCAGAACTGTACAGTCCTGTCGCATAACCACTGGGCTTCAAGGGCAGGCTGTGCCTAGCCAATACTACTACTACCATTACTACACATACGTCTCTGCTACAGGTGCAGCACTAAGTAAACCCTTTAGGTATGTTATATTCTCTAATCTGCACAATCGATCCAAAAGGTGAGTCCATTTTTACAGATGAGGAAACTGAGACTTGCATGATAACTGGCTTCAAGTCATACCACTGAGCAGCCCTGGCAGTCTTGTTCCTGGAGCCCCTGCTCTTAACCATTGCACTAGACTAACCACCCCGTGGTAGGAGCCCAAGAATAAGTTAACAGAAATGGGAAGAGAAAATTATTGTATGTGCATGTTTAAGTGTACTTCATCTTTGTCCCCTCACTGGACCTCTTTCTTGGGAAGTAGCTAGCATTGGGGCATCCACGAATGTGGTAATGGACTGTGTATCCTGGCCCCTCACCTTGTCTCTAGGATCTGCTGGCGGATGGTCTTGACGTATTCAAAGCTGTCAAAACAGCAGATGTCGTAGACCAGGATGTAGGCATGGACACTCCGGAGTCCCCTGCAACAGGCATCTGCCCACTCCTGCAACATCCCCGGTCAGTGCCAAGGTCAAAGCAATCATGAAGGCTCCCCTTGTCCCCAGCCACCTCCAGCCACAGATGGACAGCACTCTCACCTGCCACTGTACCCCAAGCCTTCCACACCCACCCATCCCCAGGAGGCCTGGCCTAGGGCAGAACAGAGGAGCTCAGCGCTACAGCTTCCCCAGCTCTAAGCCAGGATAGGGCAGGTCACACCATCTGACCTCAAGGGCCAATGCACTGTCCTGTGCATATCTGGAGCTGAGATGTGTCTTGTCCCATTCTGTCTCCCAATCCATCCAACCATTCATCCATCCAGTCCTTTGTTCAAGTACATTTATTAAGTGCCTCTAAAAGCCAAGCCCTGAGCTAGTTGTTGGATCTGCTTAAATCCCATCCTCCAAGGCTCAGATCAAATGCCTCTTCCTCAGAGAAGCCTTCCAGCAAGCAGAGGACTACTCCCTTCATCTCCTGTATTCTAAGAATCCTTTGATTATACCTTGGTGTAGCTCTGAGGGCACAGAGGGGAGGAGAGAACAGCCTCTCCCCACCCCTCGCCCCAAAGGCTGCGAGAAGCTGCAGAGGTATATGTTAATGGACAAAGGCCAGGCGACAGATTCTGGAAATATTGCAATTTACTCCACACTTGGCTAGAGCTGTTTCCATCCCCAGCTCCCCACTTCTCCTGTGAGCTTCTAAGAGGGCTAGAGCCAAGCCTTACTCATTTTTACTTACCTCTTCTTCCTCCCCTCCGTGCCTCCCAGTGCTGGCTCTCAGCAGGCTCTTTAATTGCACAACCTAGGTTGGTGAGCTCTCCAGGGTCCTGAACCCCACTTGGTCCATGCTGGGATCAATGCAACTCCTGCCTGTAAGCTGCCCTTAGATTGCTATCTGCTGTGCCCCTTGTTTGCTCCACTCTGCCCTCAGGGTTGAGAAGGAGAGGGCCTGAGGAGAAAAAGATTGAGACTGGCTGCATAATGGGGGCTGATAAGGAGCAGGGCCCCAGGGCAGCTCCAGGGAGATAAAATTCCTGAATGCTTGTGGCAAATTCTCAAAGAGGGGCTGCAGCTCAAGATGAATAGGCCCCTGGAAAGGCTGAGTGCACTAAAGACAAGGTTCCTTAAGAGATTAATTAGCTAATTAACCTGCCAGCAGATGGCAATTTCAAGATCAGTTGAAGGCAGCCAGTGTGTGGAAAGAACAGGTCCCTGAAGTTGGGGGAGGGAGAGGCCTCGAAGGACAAGGGGAACCAGTGTCTTCTCCCCTGAGGGTTCAGGCAAAAGACAGGAAGGAGGTGCACGCCTGTCTCCAGTGCCAGCTTATGAGCTGAGTTAGGGCAGGGACCGGGTGTGAAGGAGGACTATAGCTGGTTCTCTACTTCAGAGAAGGAATAAGATGGGAAGGCCTTTGGTGGCAAAGGTGGGGAGTTAAGTCTGACTCCAGAAAAGCACCTCCCAACTCAAAGGCTTATAAGCTGCTGCAGTGGATTTACCCAGGGAGATGATGTGGAATCTTGCTTTTATGCTTAGTTTTAACTTTGGAGCAAGGGGAAGATGCTGAGGACAAATCTAAAACCATACGGCCCCATGAACTGGCTTCTGAGGCCAGGGAAGACTACATTCTGTTGCCTACCGTGCCCTCCAGGAACCTGGGATCCCCCACCCCTGACCCGGGTGTGCAGTTACTCCCCCATCCCCTGCAGAGTGGAGATGAGTGGGAAGTGGAAGGGATGCAGAAACAGGCAGGGAGGTTCCCACCTTTCTCCAGCTCTCTAGTGGGGAGGGCAACAGCTGCCACCTCTCCCCTAACATGCTGCCCCCTCAAGGGGGCCTCCAGGCTGCCTCCCACCACTCCTTTCTCAGGGCTCCTAAAAGGGAGAGGAGGAAGTCTCCTAATTGGAGGGGTTGTCCCTTCACCTTGATTAAAGGGAGGGAGAAAGCTTAGTTTTGCTTCCAGCTAACTCCATGCAGGGTTCCAGGCTGTAAAAGACCATCTTGGGGATGTGTCAGGAGAGAGAAGAGGCAATGGAAACTGAGTCCAGTTCCAAGCACACAGGAGCTGAGGGAGGCCAGCACCTGGGTGCCAGCCATGCACTTGCTGCTCATTCTTTTGGTTGCTCATGCCCTCTGACCTCAGCTTCCTTCTCTGACAGGAGGAGAGGGGCTGCAGAGGGAACAACTGAGGCTCAAACCCAGGACACACCCCTCTCTTGGGCTGGATCTCATACAACATTGGGGAAAAATGTACTTTTATTTTATTTTTAGACAGTGGCCATCAAGATTCTTAGGTTGTATATTTGATATTTGGGGCATGCAGGGTCCCTTCTCAGTATTTTTCTGCTCAAAGTCCCTTTCTTATGCTCCAGGAGTGAAGTCTTGGACATCCTGGAGGGTCCAAAACTCAGGGTCCATCAGGAAGAAAAAGGCTAGCAATCCAACAGGAAGATGGACCAAGTAACAGTCACCAGAAAAAGAAATACAGAGGTCCTTAAACATATGAAAAGATGCTCAACTTCACTCATTAGCAGAGATGCAAATAAGAACTACACTGAGAATATCATCTCCCATCTATTGGACTGTCACGAATCCAAAGTTTGACAGTACTCTCTGATGGCAAGGCTTTAGGTTAAAAAAGCGCTCAGGTACACTCCTCCCAGGAGCACAAAATATGCAACTTTATAGAAGGGGTGGAGGACCTGGCAACACCTTCTAAACTCCAGCTGCACTTCCCCTTTGACTTAGCAATGCCATTTCTAGGAATCCATCCCGCAGATAGGCCTCCCTATGCACAGACTATGTACAGGGCTACTCATTGTGGCCTTGTTTTAAACAGCAAAAGATTAGAAACAACCCACTTGTTCAACAACAGGCAACTCTGTGGTACCCCTCTCCAGTGGAACACAGTGTATCCATGGGGGAAAAAAAAGTGAAGACCACCTCTAGATACTGACATGGAAAGATCTCCAGGTTATAATGTTAAGTGAAAAAACACAGTGAAGAACAGTTTTTTTGTTAGTTTTGTTGTTTTTTTTTAATGTAAGAAGGAGAGTAGAGTAAGAATACATTTTCTTATCTGTGTAAAGAAACCCTGGAAATATGAATTAAAAAAACAAGGAGAATGGCTATAAGAGAATGCAGCAAGATTCAGGGTGGAGAGGGCAGGGTGGGACTGAAATTTCTCTGGGTGTACCTTTTTACAAAGTTTGGACTTTAAATTGTGTCTTACCTATCCCCAAATTGAAATTGAATTAAAATTTAAAATAAATAACACAAGAATATGTGAAAAAATGAACAAAGCTCAATGTGTAGGACTGGATCTGAATATGCGCTCAGGCTAGTCTCCTTTGGAGGACTAGAAGGCCCTGACCCTGGACCCACTTGCTATTTCCAAGGCACGGGTGCCTGGATTAGGCTGTTGTCTTTTGGGTTGGCCTCCCACACCTGGGATGGGAGAGACATGTCCTTGAGGTTGGGCCAAGGCCCTCTTGCCCCAAGTTGCTAAGCCTAAGCCTTTCCCCTGCCCCAGCCCCAGCCCCAACATGAGCCTGCTGACTGGCAGGGCCAACTGGCCTGTCCTTGCTGGAGCAGCCTCTGCACCTCGGGTCAGGGGCTTCCTTTGGTTAAGCAAATGTGTCAATGCTGAGCTTCCCCCTGCTCCTGACCCCCTCTCAAGCCAGAGGTATAGAGAAGGAAGGTGCACAAGAAGCCAGAGCACCGGGGGCATGTGCTTCCAAACCCCCGCAGGAAGGGTGCCCAGTGGGCAGTCCTGAGATCTGTCTTGAGGGGGCAGGGCATCACTTAAGAGAAAAGGCCCTTGAGCAAGTGACCTGGTTGGGGCTCTCTAGTCTCTGAGAACACACCTTCCCCAGGTCCTGGCCTTTTCTTCTGCTGTCCCTTCTGCAGTTGACAGGGGTCTGAGGCAGGGTAAGCAGGGCCCAGAATATTAACAGGCATCTAGTGTTCCTGTCTTTCTTTCCACTGCCCCTTACTGGCCCAAATCCTACTTAGTTGAGACATTGCCTCCTGTGACCCCCAACCCCACCCACATGGGTGGATTAGATGCCCCCTTAGGGCTGCCTTAACTGCCTGCGTCTCCACCAGCCATGGCCCTTATCACACCATATAGTAATTGCCTATTTGTTTTCTTACCAGACTGGGTTCCTTGAGAGCAAACTGCACATCTGTTTTGTGCACCATTCTACCCAGTGCCCACCACAAGGCCTGACACACATTAAACATTCACCAAATATTTGTTGAAAAAACAAACAGCGCACAAACGAAAGGATTCCTGGTAGAGTTCCAGGAAGGGTGGCTCATGGTGAAGCACGGAGCTCCCAAAGCCAGCGGTGGGGCCTGGCAATAGGGCCAGAGCCTGAAGGGGGTTGACGTCCAGCCTCTTCCCTAGCCCTCTACCCCCCCAACCCCACCGAGGGCCTCCTACCTGCAGCGTGTTGACAGGGAAGGCGCTGATGGGTGGGAAGTCCAGGATCTGGAGGTCGTGCACGTGGCCGTTCATGACGACAGCAGGTAGATAGAGGCGGCGAGCGGTGGTGGGCACGCAGACCTCGCTGAACTCGTTGTACAGGAACTGGCGCACGATGGCACTCTTGCCCACGCCTCGCGCCCCCAGCACGGCCACCCGGTAGGTGGAGACCATGCCTCCCGCCCCACTCCGCCGCCTCGTCCTTGGCGCTGCCTGGGGCTTCCCTGGGCTGCATATTCCAGGGGCTGCGGGCTCAGCCACCGTCAGGACCAACCATTGCTGCCCCTGCTTGCCCCGGGCCCTCTGTGGTCTCCACCTGGACTGTGGGGACAAGAGGTGTGGGTTTGGTGGGCTGGCTTCTCCCTGGACCTGTCCTGTGCTTTTCTACCTGGGGGACTTTGCTGAAACTGTTACTGTCACTCAGCACATGCCTTCCCTTTCTCTCGATGCCTATCATCTCCACCTGTCAAACCCGTCCATCCTTNCAAATCTATCCTTGAGGGATTCCCTCTCCACACTCTGTCAAGAAAAAAGTTTTAACCCAGGGGGCAATCTGGCTTTGGGGTCAAGAAGGGGGTGAGGGGCACCCGGCAGGGACAGACCATCAAGTTAAGGCTGGAAGGTAGGTTGTTGTGTCTCTGGGGGCTGCTGGGCATGGAGGTTCCCTGGAAGGAGAGTCAGCCTTCTCCCCCGACTCATCTGGGGCCTCAACTCTCAGACCCCAGTTGTGGACCTTGGGCCACCCACATCTCTCTGCCCTGTGTCAATGGTGCCAAAGGTCAGAAGGCTGGCCTCAAAAAGCTGCCAGGATCTGCGAGAAAGGGATGGATGAAATGAGAGCCCTATGAACGGAGCTGGGTGACGGGGGGAACCGGAGGGTGGGTAAAACAGCTGGGCACCAAAAGCCGCTTGGGCAGACTGACAGACACGGGAAAGGAGGTTGCGGGGCAATGACAGACACACTTTCTGAGGAAGACCCGTGGGGACCCGGCCAAGGCAGCACCTCCCTACCCCAACCCTCCACTCTCACGTGCTCATCCCTAATCCCAAAAGGCCGCAGCTCCCCTTAGGGCCGGGCAGGGTACCGCACTACCTATGGCACTAAAGGCCGGCGTCCTGGGCAGACAAGTGCGGGAGGGGAGGACGGGGCAGTTGTGGGAGGGTCCCCCCGCCTCTTACGGTGAGGCGCGTGGCTGCAGGGGTGCTTCAGGACAGGACCATCACAATTCTATTCTGGCTTCTCTCCGGTCAAGCCCCGCAGTCCCGAGGGGAAGCTGCCTGGGCCTGTGGGGGCTGCAGCCCGCGGTGGGGGGGAGTCACATGATGGCGCAGCGGTTGCGGCGCAGCGCGCCCTGGAAGCGCAGGGCAGCGTGCACGTGCTTGCAGCGGACACAGCCAACGCTCTTGAGCAGCTCGCTGAATAGCAGCAGAATATGCCAGTTGTACTTGGCCGAGCACTCCACGTAGCCGCACTTCCAGGTCTTGCGCACCAAGTGTGACACGTTCCAGCGTGGGATCACGCGTCCGCGCTGCAGGTCCCGCTTATTGCCCACGATGATGATGGGCGTCTCCGAGGTGCCGATCACTCTGTGGGGTGAGGTGGTAATCTCAGAACTGTACAGTCCTGTCGCATAACCACTGGGCTTCAAGGGCAGGCTGTGCCTAGCCAATACTACTACTACCATTACTACACATACGTCTCTGCTACAGGTGCAGCACTAAGTAAACCCTTTAGGTATGTTATATTCTCTAATCTGCACAATCGATCCAAAAGGTGAGTCCATTTTTACAGATGAGGAAACTGAGACTTGCATGATAACTGGCTTCAAGTCATACCACTGAGCAGCCCTGGCAGTCTTGTTCCTGGAGCCCCTGCTCTTAACCATTGCACTAGACTAACCACCCCGTGGTAGGAGCCCAAGAATAAGTTAACAGAAATGGGAAGAGAAAATTATTGTATGTGCATGTTTAAGTGTACTTCATCTTTGTCCCCTCACTGGACCTCTTTCTTGGGAAGTAGCTAGCATTGGGGCATCCACGAATGTGGTAATGGACTGTGTATCCTGGCCCCTCACCTTGTCTCTAGGATCTGCTGGCGGATGGTCTTGACGTATTCAAAGCTGTCAAAACAGCAGATGTCGTAGACCAGGATGTAGGCATGGACACTCCGGAGTCCCCTGCAACAGGCATCTGCCCACTCCTGCAACATCCCCGGTCAGTGCCAAGGTCAAAGCAATCATGAAGGCTCCCCTTGTCCCCAGCCACCTCCAGCCACAGATGGACAGCACTCTCACCTGCCACTGTACCCCAAGCCTTCCACACCCACCCATCCCCAGGAGGCCTGGCCTAGGGCAGAACAGAGGAGCTCAGCGCTACAGCTTCCCCAGCTCTAAGCCAGGATAGGGCAGGTCACACCATCTGACCTCAAGGGCCAATGCACTGTCCTGTGCATATCTGGAGCTGAGATGTGTCTTGTCCCATTCTGTCTCCCAATCCATCCAACCATTCATCCATCCAGTCCTTTGTTCAAGTACATTTATTAAGTGCCTCTAAAAGCCAAGCCCTGAGCTAGTTGTTGGATCTGCTTAAATCCCATCCTCCAAGGCTCAGATCAAATGCCTCTTCCTCAGAGAAGCCTTCCAGCAAGCAGAGGACTACTCCCTTCATCTCCTGTATTCTAAGAATCCTTTGATTATACCTTGGTGTAGCTCTGAGGGCACAGAGGGGAGGAGAGAACAGCCTCTCCCCACCCCTCGCCCCAAAGGCTGCGAGAAGCTGCAGAGGTATATGTTAATGGACAAAGGCCAGGCGACAGATTCTGGAAATATTGCAATTTACTCCACACTTGGCTAGAGCTGTTTCCATCCCCAGCTCCCCACTTCTCCTGTGAGCTTCTAAGAGGGCTAGAGCCAAGCCTTACTCATTTTTACTTACCTCTTCTTCCTCCCCTCCGTGCCTCCCAGTGCTGGCTCTCAGCAGGCTCTTTAATTGCACAACCTAGGTTGGTGAGCTCTCCAGGGTCCTGAACCCCACTTGGTCCATGTTGGGATCAATGCAACTCCTGCCTGTAAGCTGCCCTTAGATTGCTATCTGCTGTGCCCCTTGTTTGCTCCACTCTGCCCTCAGGGTTGAGAAGGAGAGGGCCTGAGGAGAAAAAGATTGAGACTGGCTGCATAATGGGGGCTGATAAGGAGCAGGGCCCCAGGGCAGCTCCAGGGAGATAAAATTCCTGAATGCTTGTGGCAAATTCTCAAAGAGGGGCTGCAGCTCAAGATGAATAGGCCCCTGGAAAGGCTGAGTGCACTAAAGACAAGGTTCCTTAAGAGATTAATTAGCTAATTAACCTGCCAGCAGATGGCAATTTCAAGATCAGTTGAAGGCAGCCAGTGTGTGGAAAGAACAGGTCCCTGAAGTTGGGGGAGGGAGAGGCCTCGAAGGACAAGGGGAACCAGTGTCTTCTCCCCTGAGGGTTCAGGCAAAAGACAGGAAGGAGGTGCACGCCTGTCTCCAGTGCCAGCTTATGAGCTGAGTTAGGGCAGGGACCGGGTGTGAAGGAGGACTATAGCTGGTTCTCTACTTCAGAGAAGGAATAAGATGGGAAGGCCTTTGGTGGCAAAGGTGGGGAGTTAAGTCTGACTCCAGAAAAGCACCTCCCAACTCAAAGGCTTATAAGCTGCTGCAGTGGATTTACCCAGGGAGATGATGTGGAATCTTGCTTTTATGCTTAGTTTTAACTTTGGAGCAAGGGGAAGATGCTGAGGACAAATCTAAAACCATACGGCCCCATGAACTGGCTTCTGAGGCCAGGGAAGACTACATTCTGTTGCCTACCGTGCCCTCCAGGAACCTGGGATCCCCCACCCCTGACCCGGGTGTGCAGTTACTCCCCCATCCCCTGCAGAGTGGAGATGAGTGGGAAGTGGAAGGGATGCAGAAACAGGCAGGGAGGTTCCCACCTTTCTCCAGCTCTCTAGTGGGGAGGGCAACAGCTGCCACCTCTCCCCTAACATGCTGCCCCCTCAAGGGGGCCTCCAGGCTGCCTCCCACCACTCCTTTCTCAGGGCTCCTAAAAGGGAGAGGAGGAAGTCTCCTAATTGGAGGGGTTGTCCCTTCACCTTGATTAAAGGGAGGGAGAAAGCTTAGTTTTGCTTCCAGCTAACTCCATGCAGGGTTCCAGGCTGTAAAAGACCATCTTGGGGATGTGTCAGGAGAGAGAAGAGGCAATGGAAACTGAGTCCAGTTCCAAGCACACAGGAGCTGAGGGAGGCCAGCACCTGGGTGCCAGCCATGCACTTGCTGCTCATTCTTTTGGTTGCTCATGCCCTCTGACCTCAGCTTCCTTCTCTGACAGGAGGAGAGGGGCTGCAGAGGGAACAACTGAGGCTCAAACCCAGGACACACCCCTCTCTTGGGCTGGATCTCATACAACATTGGGGAAAAATGTACTTTTATTTTATTTTTAGACAGTGGCCATCAAGATTCTTAGGTTGTATATTTGATATTTGGGGCATGCAGGGTCCCTTCTCAGTATTTTTCTGCTCAAAGTCCCTTTCTTATGCTCCAGGAGTGAAGTCTTGGACATCCTGGAGGGTCCAAAACTCAGGGTCCATCAGGAAGAAAAAGGCTAGCAATCCAACAGGAAGATGGACCAAGTAACAGTCACCAGAAAAAGAAATACAGAGGTCCTTAAACATATGAAAAGATGCTCAACTTCACTCATTAGCAGAGATGCAAATAAGAACTACACTGAGAATATCATCTCCCATCTATTGGACTGTCACGAATCCAAAGTTTGACAGTACTCTCTGATGGCAAGGCTTTAGGTTAAAAAAGCGCTCAGGTACACTCCTCCCAGGAGCACAAAATATGCAACTTTATAGAAGGGGTGGAGGACCTGGCAACACCTTCTAAACTCCAGCTGCACTTCCCCTTTGACTTAGCAATGCCATTTCTAGGAATCCATCCCGCAGATAGGCCTCCCTATGCACAGACTATGTACAGGGCTACTCATTGTGGCCTTGTTTTAAACAGCAAAAGATTAGAAACAACCCACTTGTTCAACAACAGGCAACTCTGTGGTACCCCTCTCCAGTGGAACACAGTGTATCCATGGGGGAAAAAAAAGTGAAGACCACCTCTAGATACTGACATGGAAAGATCTCCAGGTTATAATGTTAAGTGAAAAAACACAGTGAAGAACAGTTTTTTTGTTAGTTTTGTTGTTTTTTTTTAATGTAAGAAGGAGAGTAGAGTAAGAATACATTTTCTTATCTGTGTAAAGAAACCCTGGAAATATGAATTAAAAAAACAAGGAGAATGGCTATAAGAGAATGCAGCAAGATTCAGGGTGGAGAGGGCAGGGTGGGACTGAAATTTCTCTGGGTGTACCTTTTTACAAAGTTTGGACTTTAAATTGTGTCTTACCTATCCCCAAATTGAAATTGAATTAAAATTTAAAATAAATAACACAAGAATATGTGAAAAAATGAACAAAGCTCAATGTGTAGGACTGGATCTGAATATGCGCTCAGGCTAGTCTCCTTTGGAGGACTAGAAGGCCCTGACCCTGGACCCACTTGCTATTTCCAAGGCACGGGTGCCTGGATTAGGCTGTTGTCTTTTGGGTTGGCCTCCCACACCTGGGATGGGAGAGACATGTCCTTGAGGTTGGGCCAAGGCCCTCTTGCCCCAAGTTGCTAAGCCTAAGCCTTTCCCCTGCCCCAGCCCCAGCCCCAACATGAGCCTGCTGACTGGCAGGGCCAACTGGCCTGTCCTTGCTGGAGCAGCCTCTGCACCTCTGGTCAGGGGCTTCCTTTGGTTAAGCAAATGTGTCAATGCTGAGCTTCCCCCTGCTCCTGACCCCCTCTCAAGCCAGAGGTATAGAGAAGGAAGGTGCACAAGAAGCCAGAGCACCGGGGGCATGTGCTTCCAAACCCCCGCAGGAAGGGTGCCCAGTGGGCAGTCCTGAGATCTGTCTTGAGGGGGCAGGGCATCACTTAAGAGAAAAGGCCCTTGAGCAAGTGACCTGGTTGGGGCTCTCTAGTCTCTGAGAACACACCTTCCCCAGGTCCTGGCCTTTTCTTCTGCTGTCCCTTCTGCAGTTGACAGGGGTCTGAGGCAGGGTAAGCAGGGCCCAGAATATTAACAGGCATCTAGTGTTCCTGTCTTTCTTTCCACTGCCCCTTACTGGCCCAAATCCTACTTAGTTGAGACATTGCCTCCTGTGACCCCCAACCCCACCCACATGGGTGGATTAGATGCCCCCTTAGGGCTGCCTTAACTGCCTGCGTCTCCACCAGCCATGGCCCTTATCACACCATATAGTAATTGCCTATTTGTTTTCTTACCAGACTGGGTTCCTTGAGAGCAAACTGCACATCTGTTTTGTGCACCATTCTACCCAGTGCCCACCACAAGGCCTGACACACATTAAACATTCACCAAATATTTGTTGAAAAAACAAACAGCGCACAAACGAAAGGATTCCTGGTAGAGTTCCAGGAAGGGTGGCTCATGGTGAAGCACGGAGCTCCCAAAGCCAGCGGTGGGGCCTGGCAATAGGGCCAGAGCCTGAAGGGGGTTGACGTCCAGCCTCTTCCCTAGCCCTCTACCCCCCCAACCCCACCGAGGGCCTCCTACCTGCAGCGTGTTGACAGGGAAGGCGCTGATGGGTGGGAAGTCCAGGATCTGGAGGTCGTGCACGTGGCCGTTCATGACGACAGCAGGTAGATAGAGGCGGCGAGCGGTGGTGGGCACGCAGACCTCGCTGAACTCGTTGTACAGGAACTGGCGCACGATGGCACTCTTGCCCACGCCTCGCGCCCCCAGCACGGCCACCCGGTAGGTGGAGACCATGCCTCCCGCCCCACTCCGCCGCCTCGTCCTTGGCGCTGCCTGGGGCTTCCCTGGGCTGCATATTCCAGGGGCTGCGGGCTCAGCCACCGTCAGGACCAACCATTGCTGCCCCTGCTTGCCCCGGGCCCTCTGTGGTCTCCACTTGGACTGTGGGGACAAGAGGTGTGGGTTTGGTGGGCTGGCTTCTCCCTGGACCTGTCCTGTGCTTTTCTACCTGGGGGACTTTGCTGAAACTGTTACTGTCACTCAGCACATGCCTTCCCTTTCTCTCGATGCCTATCATCTCCACCTGTCAAACCCGTCCATCCTTCCTTCTCCATTTTTTTCCTGCCATCCATCCCACCAGTGGGACCCAATCTTTCTTGACTTGTATTAGGACCTGACTTTTAGCCAGGTCTGACTCCCCAACCAAGGCAGGCTGCAGAGCAGAGTGGCAAAAGCATTAGACTTTAGCTTCAAGTCCCAGCTTTCCCACTGAGCTTGTGACAAGACAGCAACTCCTGAGTCTGGGTCTTGCCCTGAGGGGTGATAGTAGGCAAGTGTGTCTCATGGGGGCACTCCTGGCATTTGGTGGAGAATTATTTATTGGGAAGTACATTTTATATCTCCGGCTGCCAGGTGGCACCTGCCAGCAGCAGTCGCCAGTCTCCATGATGACCCAGAACGCCCCCAGTTGAGGACCCCTGGACTAGATGACTGCTTTGGCTTGGGGCATGCCACGGGTTGAGCACTGTGCGTCAGCGAGCTCCCATGGTTACGCTTAGTACCCCATCCCTCAAGGATAGGTGGTCCCACTTTAGAGAGAAGGCTGAGAGGGAATGAGCAGTGTGCCCCAAGTCACACGGCAAGTAATGACAGCGGCGCTTTTCTACGATGTCACAGCACTTTAAGCTTCCAAGTTGAGGGATTCTAGCTGGTGAATGCTTACAGGCCAAGGGCATCCACCTGAGCTTGGAGGGCTTGGTATACAGTAGGTGCCCAGGAAAGGGCTGCTGCAGGACTGGACCTTGCTATAAGGTCATTAACCCCTTGCCTGCTCAGTTTCAGTGGCTTCAGGGTTAGGTATAAATCCCAGCTGTGACGTTTCCTAGCTGTGGGTCAGAGGGCAAATCAGCTGCCCAATCTCAGCCATGCTTTGCACATATATAAAATGGGATCAACAGCCCTTCTGAGATAATCCAAGTAAATCTCTTAACAGGTTCCGGTTCCCTCCACTGGGGATGGAAGACTCATGCCTGAGCCCTCCTGGCTGGGGACTATTCCCAGGATGACACCAGTGCCTACCTACTACATGGGTCCAGGGCAGATGGGTTTGCTGGGTTCTGGGCAGGACATGATTTTCAGCTTGTGCTCTCTGTGGATGCAGATTCTTTCCACATATGCACAGTTCACAGCTGAATATCCCTCAGTCTGTCCTGGTTCAGAATCCAATCCACCTGGTATGTGTATATGCAGTATAGTAAATATAGGGCTGGATTTGGAATGAGACCCACCAGAGTTTGTTTCCTAGCTCTGCCACCTAAAGTGTGACCTTGGGTAAGAAACATCTCAGGGCATTGTGAGGTCCTGCATGTGAAGTCCAGGGCCTGGCACAGAGTAAGTGTTCAATAAACAGTGGCCATTTTTATGTATAAGGGTCCTTTATTCAACTAAGGTTTTCCACAGTCTCAGTGGGACCTCCTAGCAATCTGGGATGGGTCACTAAATCCACTGTTACACCATTGTTCGTGCACATATGGGGGGTCTGTGTGTATGTGCATGTGTGTGTGGGCACGCATGCATGTGATTCTTCCTTCCCCGTTTCATTTTAAGGTAAAAACAAAAACCCCCAAAACAGAGACTTAGGGAAGTGAAGACCACACAGCCAGTAGAGCTGTCAACTAAGACTAGGACCCAGATCTCTTTTCTACCCAGTGCAGTGTTCTGTCCCCAACAGGTGCTTATCCACTTACACTGGCTCCCAGCTGGGGAGTACAGTTCCTCTTCCCCATGATCCCTCCTGGGCCTCGGCCCCTCAGGCATCCCTAGACACAGTCAGCTTGGCAGAGAGCCTCAGCTGAGTTAATTACATAAGCAGCACAATCAGGTGGGAAGAGGGCATCCTAGGGGAGGGACAGAGGGCAAGGAATGCAAGAGTCCCCCATCTCTCTGAGTGTGGCAACTTCAGGTGTCTAGGATGTACCTAACCTGCAGATTCTCCTAGACACCACACACCCTGCCCAGAAACCAGTCCCTTTCTGGGAAATAGCAGGAAATAAAAACAGGGCACAATGCTGGAACCATGGAGCGGGTACAAGAGAGGCTCCTAGGCTGGGCCAGTCTTCTGGAACTCACAAGGCCCAGTGTTGCCCTGTCCCTGACTCAGAGGTGATTGGCACTCCCTCCCTCTTCTTAGGCGGGGGTCCTAGATCTAAGGGTCTATTAACCTAACATCCCCAGCTGGTTGGGGGTGGATGGCGGCTGTCCCAAGAAGCAGGGCCCAGACCCAATTCTCCTCCCCAAGGCCTGCGCTCTGCAGTGAGTCTGCAGACAGCGCCCGCAAGAGACCAGGGGCACACACAGGGACCAAACCTGCTTCTGGTGCCCTCCCCTTGGCCTGGACACCTAATCCCTGCGCCGGACTGAGAGCTGGGGCTTTGCGGTCCCTTGGGCCGAGTCACACGTCTGCCGGCTGTTTGTCCCCACACGTTCCTGTGGGAATGGGTCGGTGGGGGCGTCGTTGGATGCTGGGCTCCCCATGACCTGATTGGTGGGAGTTTGGGGGCGATGCCGGAGCCCAGCCTGCTCTCCGCCTCCAGCACCTTGCAGGCACCCCCCGCGGCCAGCGCCAATTCTCACGTGGCCGCCCCGCGCTTCTTCCCCGCCGGCCCCCTCTTTCCCCTGCCCTGGCCCCCTCGCCCAGCGGTTCCCACCAGCAGCGCCGCGCCCGGCCCGGCCCGCCCCGGTCCCCGGCCCGCCTCTTCCCCCGCTTCCAGCCGCTTACCCGGGGCCGTCCTAGCCGCCCCCAGCCCTGGCCGGTCGGTCGGCGGGGCAGCACTCCCCCCGGGCTCCGGCGCTGCCCCCGGCTTCCCGGCCCGGGGGGAGAGGGGTGCGGGCGCCCCTGGCTGCCCAGTCGGGGCGGGCTCAGGGGCGGGCGCGGGGTGGGGGGCCGGTGCGGCCGCCGAGGGGTAGGACACCTCCGGCCCCGGCTCTCCTCGGAGCGCGCCGCCCGCTCGCGCAGGATAGAGGAAGGAGGGGGGCTGAGCGCGGAGTCGGGGGGGGGCGCGGGGGGAAGGGCTGGCATACTCCGCTGGGTCCCTGAGCCCGACAGATTCCTTCGGGCGGCCCTCGGCGAATTCTTTAGTCCCTAGCCTAGACCTGCACCGTACCCCGCCCCGACTCGCCTGTGATATTTTTAGATCTAATCTGGAGGGTGGGAGGAGAGGCCGGGAGAGGCTCTACAGCCTTTTGCTTTGCTCATCCCCTACCATCCGGCGCACTTCCCCACAGGCTCTCCCACTCTACGTCCCTTTTCTGACCCTTCCCAGTACAGTGAGTTACCCCGCGGTCCCACTATTTGCCCTGCACCGTGTGTGGGGGGCAGCGTCCAGCCTCATCTCAACCCCGATGGAGGGCAGAGTTCAGGGTCGTCACTCATCCTCACTGAAGCAGGGAAAGGTAGGTTGATCAGGCTAGCACCAAGCAAAGCTCATCTCCTGTCAGTGAATGGCCTCCACTCCTGTAACCAAAACTACATCCTTTCCACACTGGGAGATACCAGTTTTTACCCGGCTTGAGGGCAGAATCACCCATGTATTTTATTCTGAAGCAGTTGCCACCAGCTATCATTTATCATCAATAGCTAGCATTTATTGGGCGTATACTCTGTGCCAGACAACATGACACCGAGCCTTGTCTGCATTCTTTAATCCTCAGAACTGTAAGGTCGATTCTGTTGCCCACGTTCTACCTCCCATTTTCCAGATGAGATCACTGAGGCTGAGAGAGGCTAACTCATCTTACTGAAGTGTAAAATGTGGACTACAAAGATTGGGAGTCCTTAGCTGGGCAGCCACAGGTGGAGCTTCACACAGTGCTCACAGTCCAACGGGGAGAGGCAGACACCCAGCTCTACCAGCGTGTGCCCTGTGCAGTCAAGGTTTGGGGGCAGGGCGGAGGGAGGGGAACAACTAGTTTAGAGGAGCCAGTGGAGGCTTCAGAGGCAGCAACTTTCAAGGAAGGAGGCTTGAAGGAAGTGGATTTGGGGTAGCAGAGTCGGGAAGGTTGTGGGGGAGGAGGGCTACAGATGGGAGAGAAGTTGGGAGCTATTACAAAGGTTTGGGAAGGGAGTCCAGGAAGCAGAGAGCCCTGAAAGCATGGTGAGAGGAGGCAGAGCTGGTTGAGGGGAGGTCTCAGAGGCCTTGATTGCTGGGTGAGGAGTTTGGATCTAGCCCTGTGCTGGATGGGATGGCGCCGAAGGGTTTTGAAGCAGGGCAGCATCCTGGTCAGAACTGCATTTGAGTTGTCTGCAGGACAGGAAGAAGGAAAGGGAATCCCAGAGGGATATCCTGTGTTTTTATCTCTGGGACCCAGCACCCCTCACTGAGTTCCTATTACATAGGAGCTGGCTTCCTCCCAGAACCCAGCTTTCCTCCAGAACCAGTTTTCCTCCTCCCTTTGGGCTCTGCTTTCGAGCACCTTCCCAGTTGTTCCCTCTCCCTCTTGTCCAGACAGGAGGCATAGTGGTTTTGAGCCTGGACCTCAGAATTGGACAGATCTGCACTTAAATCCTGGCCCCTACTACTTACTATGTGACTGTGAACTTTCCAAACTCTATTGCCTTATTTGTAAAATGGAGATGTGATCAGTTTTGTTGCAGGGCATAAGTGAGCTGTGGTGTGAAAGCCCTTAACACAGTGCCCAGCATGTCTAAGTCTCAGTGTGTGACCTTTATTTTTTCCTGCCTTTCTTACAGACATACAGCCCCATATAGGACATTTGAACACTACCTTGGGTAGGCATTTCCATTTATTCTAGGTGGGTTCCCAGAGGATTGGAAGGGCCAGGGCAGCAGCTAAAAACAAACAGAGTCAAGAAGCCTATGGCCTCTTCCTGGGTGCTTCTTTTGGGGGGAGAAATGAGATTTTTCTCACCTTCTAGCATCGTCATCTGAGCTTTCCCTAACTTGATAAAATTGTCCAGGGCACTATAGCACCCTTGTATACATCTTTAATCCTTATTTACCCCAAGGACCCCAGACTTTGTCTATTCCCCCAGCCATGACCCTCCACTTGGGTTCAACTTCAGCCCAAATGCACTAGAAGTAAAAAATCATGCAATGCTTATACCTTGGAGCCAGGCACCTCAGAAGCTTCTCAACTTTATAGTAAGGGAACACAAAGACACAGGTCAATTATATCATATAGGGCCTCTTACTGGCCGTCAGTGGTTAAGTGATTTATTGTTTTTATTTAAACAAGTAGCCACAGTATTAACATAAAATGCAAAGTATGTCTGAATTTAAGATTCAGCTGTCATTTTGTGTTAAGAATGTTCACCTGTATCTGCTTTTGTTATGTAGCTGTATTCCTATTATGTTAATGTATGTGCGCAATTTAATTAGTAGTTTAAAACCTATACATGCTTATGTTACTCTACAAGAAGATATGTCAAAGAAAAAGAAAAAAAAAAAGAATGTTCACCTGTAGGTAAGGGCCTGTTTGCTCGCCAATCACTGAGATTATCTTGGTGAAAAATTTTGAAGCATTGTCCTTGGGTCTGACTTTGAGCCTCAGGAGGCTCTGGTTCAGCTGGGAACACCTGATGTCTGAGGTGCAAGGTCAGATTCCAGGGGAGTGGGTGTGTGGGTCTACCTGCAACATCTGAGGCCCAGATATGGAGTGGGACAGAAGGAAAGGACTCAAACCTGCCTGGGCCATCCCCACTTCATCATAGCTGGGTACCTTGCCAAGCGTTCAGAGGCTGTTTAGCTTCATCCTGGAGCCTCTGACGATAGTGAGAGTGAATGAAACAAGGGAAGCCAGAGGCTAGATGTGAACACCTGATTAACAGAAGCAGCAGTGAGTGGAGTTCTCAGTCCCAGAATGTTGGGGACAATCCTGTTTCAAAACAATACTCTGGAAATTAAGACCATCTGGGTCAAATGAACCCCCAAATTAGCCTTCTCCTCGGGGGCTGCATCAAGAATGGCAGGGCAAAAGCTAAATGAGAAGCTGAGATGGCAAGTTAGGAGCCAACTCGGAAACTTTTCAAGAAACATTCTTGTTGGTAATAACGTTTTTTGGGGCTGGTTGGGATTCTAGGATTAGTGTTTCAGGAGATAGAAATGGGTAACAACGGGGGAGGTGTGATCTTTCCCAAGTGCCACACCAGGTATTAAAATAAACAGGCTCTTGTCTCCTGGAGCTGGGGGTGGCAAGGAAAAGAAAACTGGGTCCAGCAAATCAGAAAAAGCATCAATGCATGAGGTGGGAGTAGGAAAGCTTAAACCTGGGAGTCCTCAACTCTTTGCTGGCATCAGCACTCTGCCTGCAAAGATGCCTGTGTTGGTGGGGCCGACTGTATGGGGACTGTTTAATTGGAGCCTCTGCGAGGTATAGGACTTTCCCTGATGTCCATCTTAATTTTATCTGGCAAAATCCCTGGGAGCCCTAGGGCAGCCAAAAGAGAGGATCTGAGATCCCAGTATTTCCTGGTCACCATTCTGGGGTCAGAAAAGGATCATCCAACCTTGATGCCAGGATTCTTGTTTGCAGAGCCAAGAATGAACTTAGCAAACACCCAAGATAGGAGAGCCAGGGAGAGACTTTTATTGAGAGATAGTGAGAGGACAGAGCTCCTGGCTTGCACCAGGTGGGGACAAGAGAACCTGTAGTGGTGCCATGTCTAGGGGTTTTATAAAGCAGTTGAGGACTTTTGGGAACAGGAAAAAAAGCTTAGGGGTGTGGACTTATTAAGTGGTTCCTTAATATTTATAATTAACACAAGAAACTCCCTGCTCTGATCTCTCCCTGTGATACCAGCGTCTGGGGCTGGGAGCATACCAAACAAGGCTGCCTGCCTGGCCCCCAAGGTGGGCTGAGGTATTGTGTGCTAAAGAGTAAATTAAGAATCTTACTTCTTAACTTCCTAGGTGTTAAAATGCAATCTTATCTTTAAGGTGGAATCCTTCTTGCCTTTTACTATGTTGTTTTGCAGCTGGGTCTGCCTGCTAAATTAGTTGCCCAGTTTGCAAAATCACCTCGTCTGAAGGAGGAAAAACAGCACATAGGCCTGGACCTTTATAATGCTAAAGTGAATCTCACACATGATTACAAATGATTAGCATAATAAAAACATGTGCTACTCTTCTTTATCTGGGGAATATTAACTGATCTCACTGAAGAATAACTCTAGTGCTTAATGTTTAACACAAGAGTTTTGGTAGGGGGTTTCCTTGCATGTAGTTATTTACATTTCTCTGACTGCAAATATCTTGCCTTGCTTTTTCCGGAGGCCCTAACTCTACTCTGACTATACCCACAGTCCCTGTCTCATTTGGACACCCAAGTAACCAAAGCAGCCATTGTTCTGACAACCCAGCTGCTTAGCACTGTGCAAAGCACCTCACCTACACTCACTGTAGTGGTGAGAGGTTCAGGGACTAGTCCAAGGGCATCTTGCTGTTGGCTCCCTCAGCCTCTTTCCCCTACTCCAGAATGTGCGCTCATCAGAATCCAGGGGCTGGGTGTCTATCCTGAAAACAATTAGGTCATGTGCCCCCTGCAACACAATTGCAAGTGACCAAACTTCAATTCCAGGGAAGCCTGCTTTCATGCAGCATTAATCCTGTTCATGTGGGAACATGCAGACCCTGAGTCCAGGACTAAGAGGCTTCTATAAATTAAGAGATTTATGCAATGTCCTGGGTAATAGGAAACTGAGTACCTCTGCTGTGCTCTTTCTGTCCCTGTGCCTTGCTGGCTGGCTGGCTGCCCTGGGGCCCTGTCAGAGGACCTGCCAGTAAAGATGAATTGGCTTCTCTGAACACTCCCTGCCTGCAATGTACTGGACTCTCCC